CACTGCAGTGTTATTGTGTGGCTCTTGGTTACATGCTTTTCCCAACCAAATGTGGAAATATATTATCCCTGTTTCATTTGTAAGGAGATGATGGGGGGGAGGGGTGGCTGTGGTTCTTATGAAACTGATGTAATTACTAAACCTAATTTCCACTATGTGGGACTCTGATAATCTCAGAAGTCTCTCCAAAGTTGCTTTCTTCTCTAAACCAGGAAGTATCTCCAAAATATACCTTATTCTGATCAATTTTACACCAGGAGCAAAGGAAATGCAAACTGCTGTCAACATTTCCTGCCAAAAAGCTTTGATCATGATGGATTTTATGTAAATGGTAATCAAGGCTGTTGTTACAAGGTACTGTCCCAGTACTGCAGCTTCAGTGGACCGGTTCTCAAAGCCTTTCAGTAAGCAGTGAGTGGAAAATACAAATGCATCTTTATATTTACTAATGGCAAGAAAAATAGTGTTTTTAATGAGAAAAAGACTGTCTTTACTTCAGATGAAATTTAAAATCTCATTGTAGCTGATAGCTATATGCTTCATTTTCTGGCCCTTTGAATAGATTTTGGGGTTTGTTTTTTTTTCTGGAGCAGAAAAACATCTCTGAGAAGATGATTTTGGGGATGTTGTTGTTTTCTCTGCTGTGATGTAAGGCACGAGCACGCAACTCAGCGTTTTTCTCCTTAAAACCATGACAAGAAGCTTATATTAATTTATTTTGACAGCATTTTCAACCCATATAGCAGTTTAGGACTATATGTTTGTGCTACCTTCCTTAGACAAGCAATGCTTTGCGTGAGACTGTTAATTTGGAATAGGGCATGGGTTCACATTTGGTTTTCATAGACTGATAGATTTAAAGGCCAGAAGAGACCATTATGAACATCTAGTCTGACCTCCCACTTCAATCAGGGCACAAGCCTCACGCAGTCGTTACTGAAGCAAAATCATGACTTCAGTGTGAGATAAAAAGCAGCTTAAAAAGAGCATCTACCCCTGAGTTGACTTCCTCTAATTTTTAGCATTAATTTTTCCAGCTTCAGGCTCTAGTCCCTGGATCATATCATTTTATAGGCATGCAGATTCAAAATGAAACATCATCCTTACCTGTCCCTTTCAATTACATGTCTGTGATTTCATCTACTTGGATTTATCCCAATATTATAGGAATATTTATGTTGTATAGTTTTCAGACAAAGTTAAATGGACAGTAAGCATTCTTTTCACTTTATACTGGATGTTGTAAAAACAGTTGCAAAGCATGCATGGAATGTCAAGATCTTGAGCTAGGTCTGCACTCGTAAGTCAGGAAGCATTCAACCTTGCTTTTATTTTTTGAGAGCAGTTTGCATTCAGTGAGTTAACATGCTTGAAGCCTGTTCACAGAGCAAATACACAGCAACTATTGTACATTCAAAAACCAACCCCTGCGTTTCCAAGGTCAGTCTTTAATAGGCAGATAACAATGAAAATTGGCAAGTGACAAAAAAAGATAAGGGAAGGCAGTTGCAAATTTTTAAGAAATTATTGTATACCTTGTGCATTTAAAAATAAAATAACAAAAACAGTTGTAATTTGGTTCACCTAAGAGAACAGCAGTAGAAGATTAGGTGGGAGGAAGACACTTAGAATAGGCTTATTCTGCCACTCATTTTCACATTCACATCATAATATGAAAGCAGACTTTGTCCAGGCTTAAAACCTGTCTGTAATTCACTATCCCAGGAATTCTAGTCTACAGAACTGGATCAATTTTTCAAGATGGCCAGAGCTCCAAATCTGGCATTGAAGTTTCACACAACCTGGGAAGTTTTAGGTGTGGATGTGAAAGGCATTTGTGACAGTTCAGAAAGTCTTTGAGCAAATTTCTGCATTTGAAATTTAAACGTTTTTCAGGCTCCCCCTATATAGCGTAAAGAAAGAGGGCAGGGGTTGAACTCTGCTTCTGATATCTGTCATGTGGTAGGTAGAGGGGTACCATGGTCATCTAGGAATAGAATAAGGTAAAGAACTAGAAGAAGATACTGTCAAGGGAAGATCCAGGTAAGCATACTGCGAGAATTGATTGAGTTTGATGACCTTTAAAACTTTCAAGTCAGGCCAATTTAAAGAGCTGCTATTCAGTACTTGCCTAGTAAAACTGGAAAGATTTACATTAATTTCAGAAAGCAGCCACCGGCTTCTTACTGTCTTGTAAAACATTAATATAGACTGATACTTAACAAGCAAACTGATGTTTAACAAAAAACCCACAAAAGTTTAACAAAACTTCCAAGCTTTCCAGTTTGAAAATGACACAGTTTGAGGAGCTAGACCACAAGAACTAATTAACAACAATTTTTGTAAAGCAACTTACTTGTTTAGTAGCTATTCTCTGTTTTCACAGTTTGGAAATGTGGAGGCCATCAAAAGACCTGTGTAATAATTTAGTATAATAATATAAATGGGTTTATGTTTATATTGACTACATATGAAACTTATTCTAAAATGTTGTTCTTTATCCAGGTTTTGAAAAGATCCTGGATATAATTATATATAATTATGGATAAATAAATTCCTGTTTCAGAGAAAAGTACTTACTCTTAATGTAGTAATGTCCTTTGCTAGACACTTTCAGGATATCTAAAATCACTGCAATATTCCATAAAACTTTAAGAATTTTTTTTCATAATATGTACAGGTCCTATCTGTTAGCATTTATTACGTCAAATAATACACTTTAAATTAGGCAGTCTCAAATCAAGAATACATGTTTTCATTTAAAACCTTTTAGTATAAAATATTAAAACATTCAAAATTAATATATGAGCAATAAGAAGGTATATATCTTTTCAAGAGTATTTGCACATTTGGATCCCCTTAACAAACTGTTTTTTAAAGGCAAAAGTTATCTGATACTGTAACTATATATGGTATTTTGACTTTGCATGTGAGTCTCAGCTCTACAAAGGGGCATATAACATCACAGCAAACATGCCTTTGCAATTAAATGACCGTTCACAGTACAGCTTATAGAAACACAAGATACAGTTCAAACTGTTTGGTAAAGAATGCCCGTTCTTGTTACTCTTTGTTTTAATGGGCTATAAAATAAATGCAGTGTAGAAGGTATTTTTACAGCCAAAGGTTGTGATACACGATATGCGTGGGTATGCTGGGAAGAAATGCCAAAAATATGTACTTCAAACACCTATCACGCTTCTCAGAAGGGTTATATATGCAAAGCCATCAAAATCCTGTGATATCTTTAATGGAACAGGACTGACTGCTCCTCTGGTGTTTACAGCATCAGTCCTGGTAAATGTCAAAATGTATGGTTCAGCAGTGAAATACTGCCAGATTCTTTTGTTTGTAGCCATATACAAGAAGAAGTAAGGAGACTGCACAGATGCAAAAAAGGGAAGGCAGGGAACTAAGTGCTTTAAGCCAGCATGAAATAGACAGAGAATATCAACACCAGCAAACACGCACACACATAAAATGTGTGCATGGAGGTGGTAACGGGCAGGGGAGAAGGATGAGGGAAGTCGGGTTTGTTAATGTAGCTGAAGGGACTTAAGCAATGGAATAGATACATTGGGGGGAAAAGCAGTAGTGTGAAAAAAAGAAGCCCATTAATAAAAGATGAGGAGGGATGAAATGGAGCTCTGCAGAGAAACTACAGCCCTTGTAGGGAGAGAAGCACAGGACTCAGTTCTGGTGTTCTTGTTGAGTGCTTCCTAGATGCTGGGTACTGCTCAGAGGACAAAGTACAATTAAAAGGCAGGGACTGTCAGCCTGTCAGGAATACTAAGCAAGGGACTAATCTCACACACTTCCATAACTGAGTAACTATGAGAAACAGCTTGTCACACCCAGGTTTTCAAAATGAAATACATGCCTCTGAAGTTACTGAGGTAAGTGTCTACAGTCGGGACCCTTTTTAAAGGCATTTTAAGGGGAAAAAAAAAAAAAAAAAAAGAAAAAGACTTTTCAGCCCATATGCTTCCAGAAGATTTTCCTGTAAAATAGCAGCTATCTAGGGATGTGTAGTAAAAAGCAAGGAGCTGATAGCTGCAAGTTCCATGATGTACTACTGCAGGGTCCGGATCCCAAGGCAGCCAGACCAGGGAACAGGTCACAGCCATCACAGACCTCCTCCTGTGCTTGGATTTCCTTCCTGTGTATACAGAGGGTAGAAGGGAGGCTGAGACATTTGTTGGTAGATCTCAATCTCACATGCAGTTGCACAGTGGTCAGGATGTGGCCTCAGATCTGGAAGCTGGAAAGCACTCTGATCTCCCACAGTTGCAGATATTTATTGCAGCCATAATCAGTTGATAAACAGACACAAACCACAAGTTCTCTCACAAGAACAGTTTGTGAAGGCACAATCTGCGGGTAGATATTTCATTCTTACACATAGAAAGGATATTTTTCTTTAGATGTTTGTATAAAAAAATATAACTCTACTGAACTAGGGAATTAATTCAGTCAATCTTTCTGAGCACTGTGAATCCCAAAAAGAAAGTACTGACCCGTCTACTGGGTCCTTACAAGTGTGCTCCCAAAGGGCACACGCTCAGAGACCTCAGATAGCAGCAGCTTTTAAATTCATATGTTAGACTGAGAACAGGAAATAGAGTCAAAAAGTGTTCTCAGCCAAAATAAACCACTTTTTCTGGTGAAATGTTTTTAGATTTGTTGCTGTTCTTACTCCCTCTCCCCCCTGCCCTCCCCTGCTCCCAGCTAAAACTAATTGCTTAATCTAGTTTTCAGTATTTCCTTAGAAAATCTGTTTTCTAGAACCGGCTCTTATCTTGAAATTTTCCACCCTCTTGTCTTGCCTTACTTGATACATAGACAAAACATCTAATGAAGCCTATCAAAATAAAGGTCTCATGTTCATACCTGTGTAATTACAAAATTCAGATCCTGGAAATATATCCATTTTTCAGCTGTTCACCTAAACACTGAATTCTTCAAAATGCTAACGTGCTCTTTTCCTTTCTTTTTGACAGCAAAATTTGGAGAGTAACCTCACCAACCTTATTAAGAGGAACACAGAACTGGAAACTCTTTTGGCAAAACTCATTCAGACCTGTCAACATGTAGAAGTGAGTATTGACCTCCATTTGAGATTCTTGCAAATTTAGTTACAATTACTTATAGCATTCGTGAACAAAATTTTAAACAAAAAAAAAAGCACAGAAATAATTAAAATAATTGTAAACTGATACAGAGCTTTTTCCCTGGTAAGTGGTATTCTCAGTACTGATTACTTTCTTTCCTTTCTACTCCCTGTTAATTATGATATGCTTGTATGGCTCCCACCACTACTATATTTGAGCACATCACTCACTAACTGCAACATGTGTATCTTTTGAGGTCCTTTGTAGAGTAATATCTACAGGTAGAAAACTAAAGCAATAAGTAGTAATGCCCAGGACCACAATGATATTTAGATTTCTATGGGCCACTGATATTTTTTTAGTCATAATTAAGTATCTAAATACATTTGTAAACTCAAAAGTCCTGCGTACAATATATTCACCTTCAGAAGATGCTTAGAGGCCTTTGATTTACATATTCCACTTTGCATATTCAGTTACATATTCCACTTTGAGTATCACAGAAAATCTTTAGCAGGGAGGGATCAGAAGTTGTGTTTCCCCAAAATCAGTGGATTGTTTTAGGTGGCCCCATGGGGCTGCTGCTCTGCATGCTCTACATGACTAATTCAGCCATGGGAGCTGACACAAGAAGAGATCAGAGTCCAAAATAGATAATTTTCTTTTTTAGCAAAACTTTTCTTTTTACTTTTTGCCACCCTAGAAGACCTTTTCAGTTCCTTATAACATATTCAGGTCAACAAAGCCAAAACCGCTAAGAACAAAAACTAGGAAAGGTTCAACACTGTGAGGTGCATGTCCTTGTTGATAGATACAGTGGATTCATTGGGATGCATCAGAGTCACCATTTGCAGTGCTGTCTGTTTTCGTAAGTTCTAAACTCAATTGAAGATGGCATGGGAAAGTTAATGCGGTAGGAAACAGAGGAGCTAGCACAGATAAATATTGCTGATTTAGAGTGGAGCAAGTTTTAGACCTCAATCACAGAGTAAAGGTATTTTCATCTGAACAGGTAATTACCGATCACTAATCAGATTAGTAAGGAAAACCTTATTTTACCTGTGAAAAATACTTGGTTTTTTCTTTGCATTACAATGTTGTCTATTGACAGGTTTTTGCATAGGACCATTTCACTTCTTACTGCATTGTAATTACTGTAGCAGCCTCATTTGTTAAGAAAAGGGTGCACTTTTCTGTTGCTAGAAGACAGGCAGCATTAAATAACAATAGTGTTGTGCAGAAAAGGTATTTCACTTTGAGTATGGCTGTCTATACATCTGAAAGGAAGCCAAGTTTCTTCACCAGTGTTGCCTAATGCATAGCCTTGGGGAATTTGAGAGAGGAAGGTAGCCTTAACTTCAACACTGATATGATTTAAAAAAAATTATCTGTGACACAGACTGCTGTAACAGCCACATGTCACATCTACAGAAGGGCACTTGGTTTTTAGAGGAGCTTGTTTTCCTTCTGTATAAATCCCATGGGGGTTCTCCATAGGGTTTCTTCTTTTCTCTCTTTTTCAGACTAAAATTCAGTGATCTAAATAAGCCCAGGAGCAACTTCTGCTTGTGGACAGATTCAAAGTTACATCTTGAATATTTGACCTCTGCTTGCTGCCTGTAGTAATGGCACATGCTGCAGAAACAAACAAACAAACAAATATCTCCCCCAAAAAACCCAAACCAAACCAAAAATCAAAACAAACAAACAAAAAAAAAACCCAAACCAAACAACTACGACTGTTCTTCCAAAGAGATCATCTGTTCTTCCCAAGAGACTATGAAAGTCTATCCACAGTATCAGACATGAGGTGAATTTTTTGAATTCATTCTATAGGCAGCAGTAGCACCAGGCAGAACAACTGTAGAATCAGCTGGAACAACTATAGCAGGTAGTAAGAGACAGAGACAAGTCATGTTTTCTTCCTCTGTATATAAAACTTGAAGCAAAACCCACGAAGCAGATGGGCTCAGGATAGCATAAGGCCTCTTCTTCATTGGTGGCCTATGTTCAAAATGGGCTAGATCAGGAAAATTTAACATCACTCCTCCATCTCCTCTGCAATTCTGTAATATATTACCAAGTCTAAGGTTTAGTATTACAAAAAATCCAACTTGATCAACTGGTAACAGATGCGCTACTGTCCCTGGAGTCCTGTTTTAGAAAATTTCTCTGTAGACATAAAGCAATAGCAGCAAAATTGTTAATGGATTCCTACCACATTTTATTAATCAAATTAGTCTAATTAGCATTTAAATTAGCTAAATATTAAGAAATGAGCTTCAGTCAAAACCCTGGACATAGGCCAACTGGAAATCAGGCAAGTGGGGATGTGGAGGTAAACTTTAAAGCTATTTCTGTTTCTCAGAGCTCTGTGAAAATGTCAGATATGATATGATGAGAAGCTATAGATTTTTAAAAGTCAGTATGCTCTCTTTCTCTGTGCTTCTTCATGGCAGAAATTCATCCCAAACCAGGAACGCAAATGAAGCAAACAGTATATTAGTTATAACATTAATGTTACAAATTTTAAATCACAAAATAATAAGAAAAGTTGAATTTCTAATGAATGTATTAGTGTTGCCATATGAACTTGCTCAAAAGTTGAAACCAAACAGGTAGTTCATTTTATAGTTAATGTCTTCTTTTTCATTTTTTGATACAATATACTACAGATAATGATTTAAAATAGATTGTATGGAATTTGTAAACATGTAAAAACGTTTAAAAACTTTTAAAACTGCTTTAAAAGCTTTAAAAACGTTAAAAACTGCTGTTACACTTTAAAAACTGCTGTTACATAATTTTCCTTAACTAACTTAAATAATTTTAATCATGTTATTTTAATATTGATTTAGATTTGAGGAGGCTTAAAACCAGTTAAAAAAATAATAATAGTGGAAGCTTTGGGTTTCATGCATAATTTGAACTTTGAAAAACAAGGAAGGAAAATAAATTATTATTCCTTGTGTTAAGAGTTACAAAGATTTTATTAAGAGGTATATAAATGTAAAAAAAAAATTATGCTAATTATCATTTAATTGTAGAAATAAACACTAACATTTCTAAAGCCTTTGTCATGTCATAAACCAAAATTTTCAATATTACATAAAAAATGAAAAAAGAATGCCATCTTCATATGGAGCAGAAGCTGGTGTTTCTGAAAATAAACAACAAACAGGCTCTGTGTCTCACCAGCCCAACTCAAATGTTGTCACAGAGCCACTGTTTCTCATCAGCTAAGTGAGCTGTTAATGGGCTTCCCACAACCAGCTTCACTGAAGATTAATTATCTACCCATACATCCTCCCTATCAGGCAACTGTAACTTCATCCATAACAAAGGCCAAATCCCAATCTCTCTGTGTTTTAAAACTAATGCTTATTCCCTTCTGAGAGTTATTTTCACTTTTCTCTCACAAGCCGGCAAGGACTGGTTGGGGGCATTCGTTATCTAGGAGCTGGATGCCTTCCAGCCACTGAGGAGGGGGGATCTGGGGCTGCCTTTCATCACAGCAACAGAGGCATAAATCTTGCCTATTTTTAGGTGGAGTTTATCAATTTATGACAGGATCTATCCTGATGGGGAACCTGATCTTAGGAGACTTGAGAAGTCCATTTCTAGTTTTGCATCCCTGTGGGTGGATGTGGGCATATCAGCAGAAAAGCCTTTGTGAATGAATCTAGCTAAACTTGTCTACTGCTTTAAGTATAGCAAAGATATTATTAAGCATTTTATAGTACTAATTTTACTATCTGAATGTCTGATTTCATGCCTAATACAAAAGTATAGTCCGAGCTAATAGTTTATGGTAACACTTAATTTAAAAAATCCCGTCTTCTCAAAGGGAACCACACCTGAAAAGTGAATCCTTGAGACTATAACACACCTTTCTGTCTCAAATCCTTCTGTTTTGTTAGGAACACCCTGGCATGCTGGTTTTACCCATTCTTCAGACACAGCCCTAGCATGTTTTTTGTTTTACACTCATTTTTTCATCTTTCTATTCTCCCTTCCTCGATAATCCAGTCTGTCATTTCTTGGTTTTGCAGAAACCCCAAAGGTTATTTATCAGCAAAGTTTTGTTTTCCTTCCTTGGAGAGAATGGCAAATCTGCAACGTCATTCTTTTGGCCAGGCTGCTTTCTTCAGAGCACCCCGTGGCACAGGGTAGCTCCCTGGGTTGGCCCTGTGAGTCAGCTCTGCTCCTTGCTCTGTTTAGGGAAGGTGGCTGGGGCTGCCTCCCCAGGGACAGCAGGCTTGGCTCCATGGAATGCTAAACTGATTCATAGGATAAAGTATAATTCTGTCCACAAACTAAGAAAATGGAATAGAAATGGCTACTAATCTGAAATATTTTAACTTGTAGTTCACAGCATTCATGCGTCTCATAGTATCTTTAGAAAACTTTATGGAAAGCATTAAGTACTGTCTTGGAGAATTTTGTCTTTAAATTCTGTGGATATTTACCCATCAAGAGAGCCCTTTAGCATGTGGCTGAATCAGCGTGTGGCTCCATGTGTGTCCATAGAAACGCTCATGTGTGCCAATAAAGCAGCTATGTAGTTCTGGAGCTATTATTATAAGGGGAAGATGTTTGAGGGAAAGGGAAGTAATGTAAATGTTCGGTTGATACGCTGGAGGGAAGGAATGCCATCCAGAGGGACCTTGACATGCTTGTGAGGTGGGCCAGTGCCAACCTCATGAGCAAATCAAAGTGCAGTGTCCTACACCTGGCTTGGGGCAATCCAGGCACAGCTACAAGTTGAGCAGAGAAGAGATTCAGAGCAGCCCTGCAGAGAAGGACTTGAGGGTGTTGGTCCATGAGAAAATGAACATGAGCTGGCTTCAGTATGCACTTGCAGCCCAGAAAGCCAACCTTATCCTTGGCTGCATCAAAAGGAGTGTGACCAGCAGGTCAAAGGAGGTGATCTGCCACTCTGCTCTCGTGAGACCTCACTTGAAGCATTGTGTGCAGTTCTGGTG